CTAGCTCGAATTAATGAGCTAGTGTAGACATACCCTTACTCTCACAGCACAGGCTCACATTGAGCTTAAGTCAATTCAGAAGTATAGATCCAAATCTGAATACATTTTAATGTTGTCCTTGTGGATGAAGCTGCTAAAAATGATCCATGAAACTAATCTTGTAATTGAAGCACACGATGTTACATTAGATGTTGAGAGGGATAACACTGAATGACTTCTTAAAGATATTCAAAAGATTTCATGATCAATGGGACGCAATCCTTTCTGAGCCCAAATCAGTAGCACAGGGTATTGACATTTCATCTGAGTTTTTCACCAATCATAGACTAACATCTCAATCTGCTGCAGAAGGCACTATTGAGTCGATTTTTTTTGTTATTATCGACTCCATCAAATCGGTTTTTACACATCAATTTAAGTCATTGCGACAAATTTGTACCCTTTTTGGATTCCTTTGGAAGTTCAGAGAACTAAGTGATGAAGATCTATATTCAGCAGCTGAACAGTTTCAACAAAGGTACAACAAAATTTCAAGAGATCTCTGTGATGAGATCATCTTCTTGAAATTTATACATTTCACCAACTTTAAATCGTACTGAAAGCCAAAAGAACTTCTTCAAGAAATATTCGATCTCAGCCTGTTGACTGTATTTCCTAATATCACAATTGCATTACGTATTTTTGTCAGTATCCCTCCATCAGTGGCTTCAGCAGAATGCATATTCAGCATGATAAAACAAGTAAAGAATTATCATTGTTCTATAATGGGACAAGAGCATTTGAACGGGCTCATAATACTTAACACTATCAGTGATGCTGCACGTAATACTGTCAGTGATGTTGCACATAAATTAGATTTTTTCTTCAATTATAAACAAGTTTGCACACAACAAAGCCACAAAATCATTCCTAAAATGAAGAGTTTGCTTGCAGTGGAAAATCACAATTACAGTTACCTTTTTAATATACATGCTATTGGTATAATGACTTAATTATTATTAAATAAATGTCTCAAGTGTTTGTTTTCATATACTCTTTTGGTTTTAGTATCACTCTCTGGATGAGAAGTTAGCTACATCAGGAGTCTGGTTCTGGGACTGGGCTGGGTGCATCTACATAGTAGGGCTTAACTTGAAATAAGCTATGCAAATTGAACTATGTCAATTGCATAGCTTATTTCAAAATAGCTTATTTTGAAATTGGGTATGTCTACACAGCACTAATTTTGAAATAGAGTACTCAGGAGTCGGAGTAAGAAGTCCTCCAGCTTGACAGTATTTCAACATTATTTTGAAATAACTGCCTGCTGTGTAGATGCGGACTAAATTATTTTGAAATAACAGTAGTTATTTTGAAATAATGTTGCTGTGTAGATGTACAAAGTGGCCTGGGCCCCTGTCATTTTATGAGAGGGCCTGCTCATGAGTACTCATTACACTGTCTGCAATGAGAGATTAAAGGTGCTTCGCACCTCTTTGGATTTGGTCCCTACTGTTTGTCTAATGCTAGCATCAAAACCGTTATGCAAATGTACATGACCAGTTAAAAATCCAAGTCACATAGCAGTGTGAGGTCACCTCAGCTGCTCCAATGAGAACTATCAAAAGTTAGCACAAGCCTCCAACTCTCAAGCACCTGGGCTGGGATCTCACTTTAATGAATCTGCTTAAGCCATCGCTGTAATGAGCACAGGACATGTTGGCAGGCTGGTGTGGTCCCTGTTCTTCCTAAGCCCATTCAGGATAGTCATCACTGTGTCTGTCTCCTATTCAAAAAATGGTATGAACTGTGGCTGGGAGAGAAACCAGCCAGTAATGATTCATCTTCTGGCAGCCAGGATGATGGCAATAGGCCAAATTAGGCCTTTGTGGAAGTGGCTGATGCTCCATTAACCTTCAGTAGAGTTACATCCATGTACATCAGGTGTGAATTTGGCCCCGTATTTATATATTTATTTAAATACTGTAGCAATTCTACTTTCTGTTCTTTACTGACTAGTTTTGTAAACAGAAAACTTTACACTGGACACAGTTTGTTAGTGCAGCTGGAATTGGAGTGCACTGTAGTAAGGTACTAGGCAGCTGGCAGGCAGAGAATGCGATAGTTGGGATGAAATCATCTTGTGTAGCTAACGACCAGGCTACAGAGGGGAAGAAAATAAGGGGCAGGAAAAATTTTCTTCTGTGTAATAGCTAGATATTTGGGAGGAAGGGAGGAGGAGCAAATCTAAATATAGTAAATCCCCCTGTTCTCATCTGGATACATCTATACAGTTTATGAAGCCTTTTGACCTCTACTAGATGAACATGTGTGCACGAACATATGTACACAAATCTGGGTGTCTGTCTGTCTATAAACAAACAAACCTGCCTTCTTTTGTTTGTTTTTTTCCAGATCTGATTGGTAAATAACATGAAACAATTAACCTTGCATGTGTTATTGCAGCACATAAGACATGGAACACTATGTACATCTGCGGGTTTTTAAATAGCTCAGAAGCCAGAATGAGGCAAATGAAAATAAGGGTTTTTTTATTGATATTACTCTGCTTTTTGATCTCTGTACTTCTTTGTTTTGGCTTCACAGGTACCAAGGGAAAATGGCTAGCAGTGAGTTCTTTAGCTTTTCCTGCTCAACAGCCCCTCTGGCTTAGCCAGCTGGATCACACTGAATTAGTCAAGAACTTCATTATCTCCCTTCTCTGCACATTTTGCTCCAGGTAATAAATGCCCAAACAAGAGAGCCAATGCCTTCTGCTGCACTGTCTGTGAAGTTTTGTTGTTTTGGCCAATTCTGCATATCGGCATTGTGCTATGGGAGGGCATCACTTTTCATCCCTTGCCTGCAGTGCTTCCCAATCTCTATTTAGTCACAGCAGTTAGCTAACCATGTAGCTGTTGATAACATAGCATGGTTTTGGAGCTCCTAAGCCCTCAGGAGGTCTGGGATTTCTCTTCACAGTGTGGGCCTATAGGAGGAACGGTGACTAGCTGGGAGAGCCAGACCAATTACATTGTTGGGCTAGATGTAGTGCTACGTGAAAATTGCTCTTGTTAACAGACAATGAGATAGAAGTTTTGCAGCAGGGCATTTTCTGCAGTGGAGAATCATTAAACAGATATCTAGGTCAGGTATATAAAGCAATAGACTGAAATCAAAGACACTGTTTTTCACCCAATAATAGTCTTTCGCCAGCTATTTTTGCCTGAATGAATCATGCTAGTGATATGATATCAGCTTCTCTTCTTTATTTGCATTCATCAGGATGTGAACATGTAGGGAACACTTTCTAAAGGTTTTTTTATTTTTTTTTAACCACACATTTCTCCCCTCTCCCTCTCTCTGGGATGTCTTTCCCAAAATGACCTTTAGTTAAAGCTGTGAGCCACCTTAAGGTAGTCCCTGCCAAGTCTCTCCTGTGACTGGCAAAATGGGCTATATTCACATCCCAAGAAAGAGATTAAAATGAAATAATCTAGCACTGCTCCATTCTTTGGGGTTGAAGAAAACCTTTAGTCAGAGTGACCAGGGCTGAAAATTTATAAAAAAAACTGTAATACACTGAGGAGAGGGAAAATACATGCAGGAAGAAAAATCTGTCTCAAGTTGATTGTAAGGTATCTATTTTCCCAGTGCAAATCCTGGTAAGAAACAAAATAACTGTAATGAAGAATTTTTTTTTTAAGTAGGTGGATGTTAGCTCACCACTTTGTTTTCATATCATTTTCTTAAAATGTAATCTAAAATATGATGTTCAGACCCTACAAAGAATGGGAAGAAATGCACTTGGAACCCAATCATACTGTTAAATCATGGTGCTAAAGAAAGGCAAATGCCAAAGTCTGTTCCCTCCCCCCCCCAAAAAAAAGGCTCAGAGACATGTCAGTGTTAAAGGCCTGATCCAATTCTGCTGGAATAAATGGAATGACTCCCACTGACATTAGTAGGCTTTGGATCAGGCCCCAGATGACAGAGGGAAGGATTACTTGATGAAGGTCCAGACTGCAGTATTTAGATAAAAATATTAAGTGCAAAATACTGCTAAATTAATCCAACTTCTTTTGATTATTGATGTCCTACTGTTTTCTGCCTGAAACAACATACACTAGGCATCAGTCATTTATAAATTATTCATTCACAGTTATTTTGGCAGCAGAGTCTTTCCATTTATCAACTGATAAATGTATGGGAGATAAAAAGGGTAATTTTATAGCCCCTTGACATTTACCTTTGACATGATTTCCATATTTAACAAGGTAAAATACTAATGAAATATTTTTGATATTCCAGAGTCAGCTTTGCAGAGCAATGTAATGAACTCTACAGTGAAGGATGGTGTGAATCTGATGAATACATACCCAACATTCCGGCTGCAAGTCCCTCCACACTTACTTTACAGCTAGACTTACAGGGACACAAAAATGTCCCTAGTGGATTACCAGAAATGTAGAAAATGTCAAGCTGCTGCAATGGAGTTTTGATCAGGCTCCAGTCCTAGGGATCCAGGGAATTACTGAAACCATACTGAGGTGCAGGCAGCACAAAATTTTCACCACTGGCCAGACTCAGATTTCAGGAGAGTTGATTCCCTTCATAATTCTCCCTCAGTTTTACACTTGTATAAATCTCCACTGACTTTAATTGAGGTATTTCTGATATACAGTGGTGTTAAGTGATAAGAGAATCAAGCCCAGGTTGTCAAAGTCTACATCTGGCCCCCTATTACTGTAGTTTCTGAGCGCTTTGTGTGCACCTACAATGTACATACTCAGCAGTCTGGTTTGGCAGGCTACCAAATAAGCTATGTGTGTGTGAACAGAGTCTTCAGTGCTGGAGAGCAATGAGTCCCGAAAAGAGCACTTAAAACTTAGTGTTATTCTTTCCGTGACCATCAGAAAACGATGAGATGAAATATAGGGAGTATGGCCTAACAAAGACAAATAAAACAGAAAAAACTTGCTATGTTAAAAAGTAAAGCAGAAATAAGTTGCATCACCTACCCAAACATCCGTAACTACTTCCAGATGTACTCCAACAGATATGCCAAGCTCCAGGAGACCACTTAATTCTCTCCTGCAAGTAATATCATTCTACATCTAGAAGTAATAACAGAGCAGCCAATTAACAAATGTCTTACTCTTAATTTGTAAGCCTTAGAAAGCATTATTTGTAGAATTGTACTTCAGTAATGTCACTTCTGAAAAAAGTGTCAGCCACTGATTTGTGATCTATAGGGAGATGAATAAATCATACCACCCAACTCACTTGCAAGACACTACTCTTCTCTTGCTTGACGGTAAAGTAGTAACCCAAACTGATTGATGAACCCAAGATTCAAACTGCCTTTTATTAATAGGATTTTATGAGCATTAATAAACGCCTACAACACCCCTGTGAGGCTCACAAGTAGCTATGAACTCTATTTTTCCAGATGGGAAATCTAAGCAGAGAAGTTAAATGACTTGGACAAGGTCTCCATGAAAATGTAACCATGAGAGAACAGAATGCAGGAGTTCTGGTCTTCCACTACAATGCTCAGCCCCTACATATCACTGTTTTGCTAAGTGTTAAGTGTCAAATTACTGTAGTTTGAGCACTGTAGGTATTTGAAGTTTGGAGAGTTTAAGGTTTTTTTAAATGTGTTTTCTCACCAGGCAGTTTTCTACATGCTCTCACAGAACAGCTAAACTCAACTGTCTCATGTTACTTGATGGATGTTTGAGCATGAAAGGTCAATTAGTAATTGAGTTATGGTATGATTTCTTTTGATAAGTGCCAACAGATTAATGTATTCCACACTTACAAAAACAATGAACCAGAAGTGTCCTGTTCACAGAAATGCACACAGCCTTCAAATTCTAAAATGGAGATGATGGGAGTAAAGGGGATGAATTATACCTCTGACACTTTTTGTCAAACAGTTTTGATAGACAGACAGACAGATAGAAGTAATAGTGTTGCTTAATATTAACAAAAGCTAATCATGATTGAATCTCCAAAAGTCTTGCAATTCAGCTGAGTTTGGGTAAAAAAACTATTTAGATTCCTAATCAAAGCTATAAATTTTGGGAGACAGAATTAATTAGTAAAACATGCCAGAAATGAAGACCCTCCCGTTAGCTACAGAATGGTAATAGAATAGATATCAGTGAAGATTGCCTCATCTTACCCCATTCAGTTCTGATGTGGGTAGACCACCACAAGGGGTGAAAGTATAGTTCAATGCCATGCATTCAGTCCTCAACTTAATGGTCCCAGAAAGCGACTAATGGTGGATTTTGGGATGTGGACACCCAGCCATTAAGAACACAAGTGAGATCAATAAAATCTGTTCACTTTGACCTCTGATCAGTCAAGAGAAACTAACAATATTTGGTTGCTACTTGTGGCCCTGGATGGACTATTCTACAGCATCTGAACCACTGGTCTAAAAATCAGGCTTCTAAATCGCATGTCATCAAATATTCCCAATAATTCCTGGTTTGGGATATGCCTACAATCTGTATCCTTATGAATGCACTTTGAGCTCATAGCTAAGTACCTCCTGAAGATTGTACTTTTACTAAAATCTAATTCAGCTCCTAATA